CCTCACTCGCCACCCATCGAGCCCATCTCCAGATGCAAATCGCGTATCTTCTCCCTGCTCCGGAAGATTATACTGTAAAACACTTCAACCATACACAAGACCCTGTATATGCATAGCTTATCTCTATTTATCCCCTAAAGTTATAAGGATCCACACTGACAGTCTGTTGTAATCTCATCCCATAATCATATACGCTATAAATAAAGTATAAATATCATTTAACTATGAAATTTTAAAGAGTTAACTATAGATATCCTATTTCTACTGGCCATAATTTATGGGTATTAAATATGTATGTATGTATGTATATATATATATATATATATATATATATATATATATATATATATATATATATATATATGTATATATATATATATATATATGTATATATATGTATATGTATATGTATATATATATGTATATATATATGTATATATGTATATATATATATATATATATATATATATATATATATATATATATATATATATGTATATATATTACCTTACTTGGGAATTATAGTACCATAGCATATAAATTGTTCAATTGGGCGTGAATCTAATTCATCCATTCCTGTATATAAGCAGGGTTCTAAACCCCATTTAGTATACTTATATCTCAAAGCTTTATATTTTTAATTTATTAAATAGCTTATTTCTCAATTTTTAATTCAAATAGAGTGGAGCTAGTGAATTATTTTTTCTTTATTTGCACATTATTTCTTTATTTACCATTTTCTAGTGGTAGTGATAAATATTAGCCAATGAAGGTTTACCCTAACCTTTGCATTATTTTATTTTAAATGTCTTTTAAACCATTATCATTAAAGACTTATTTCTATCCTCTCAAGATAAAATTATCCCTTCAAAATATTCTCATTGATCTTTGCTAAAAAAGCCATCGGAAGTGACTGGAAAGGGAGGTCTGTTGCTCCGACAAGATACGTAGCAATCATAATCCAAAAACGCAAGGAGGTCTGTTGCAGCTACCCAGGCTCTCCAGGTGGGTTCGTCCTTTATGACAAAGTGAACCTACAATTTCAAACAACAGAATAACAAAGGCATGTCTAAGCCAGGGCAGGTTACCTCAATGGACGCTTCAGCACTTTTGAGTGCCTTTTGTACGCTTTCTACAGCAATCCGTGCCACTTTATCCACTGGAAACCTGAAACACCATGCAAACTCAGTATACACAAGAGGTAAGGTGTGAGTACAAACCCGCCAGATCCGCATGAGATAGCTGGGAGTGCTATATGCTTAACGCCCTCCTTGCAAGCAAATGTTATAGCGTTCCTGTAATAGCAAAAGCACAATGTATCAAATTTGCTACACACTCCAGCGTACCCGTAAGTGAGACCAAGTTGTCTGGCAGCTTCCGTCTCCCTGTCTTTGGAGTATCTTGTGCCTGGAGTAGCAATGATTTTAGATAGTCCCTCTGAAGGGCTGAGAAACAAGTCAGTTAAAAAGTTAAAATATAAGGAAAGACAGTTACATGATCTCCAAGGCAGTAAACCTCGAACCAGTAGTAGCAAAACATATTTCTGAAAAAAGAAAAGTCAAAAGCTCTAAACACCCTTTTGCCTTACCCTGGTGTATCTGACCTCCAACAGGAATTACGATAGCATCATTCTTTCCGTCCACAAACCACTCTAGTATGTCCCCACTTTTAATCACAAACTTGCAAGAGCCGACTTTACAAACAAGCTTGAGGTCCTTTTCCTGATCAAAAGCCACTATATTTATTCGGAAAAACAAAAAAAAAAGAGAGGTAAATTTGAAGCATTATTACCTTGAGGTCCATCAGCCTTATGCAGGGGTCCCTGGGACGTCGGGGCTCGCAAGAGGTAACGGATTTGGGTACTTGAGGGTTCCCATTGACTGAGAACAGTAATATCGTTATATAGCTATAGCTAGTTTACTGTACGTACCTAGGGGGCGCAAACCATGGGGTCTAACACCATATAACTCTACCATCTCTTCTTCGTCTTCAGGCTCATCTTCGTCTTCAGACTCAGATTCATCAGGAGGCTCGGAATATATATCGATTGGGCCTTCCTCTTTGTCCTCTGCGGCACTGTGTAGCTGTCCACTCACATCTTGAGTCATTCCAGAGGCCACTTTCTGTCGCAGCAGCTCTCCAACGGGAACTACTGCGAATGTCCTGCATTCATCGGTCCCTACATCGGCAATCTGGCAGCAAGCTTCCTCGAGGCCCTGTACTAGTTCGCACGTTACAAGCTGGTTTGCAGATCGAAACTATACAATACTCACAAGTGCGTCAATCCGAGTGGTGAAAACGCTAGTATAATCACTATCCATGTGACACTCTAGGTGTCTTGATGCAACAATAAGATAGGAGTCTGCTGTAGTCAGCCGCTCCTGTGTGCACAAAGAATAACAAATTTCAACGAAAGGGTGAGTACCTTGTGGTAGTAAAAAGGTAGACTGCTGCTTTGCGGGGGACTAGCATTTTTCAGACGGTAGAGAGAACTTGGACGGGTCAGCCTCTCGTCCTTCCCACTTCGGCACAGTATCACCGACGCAAGGGCCTCGCCAAACACATACACATGTGCGTCTCCAAGCACCACCACCAAGGACCTGGTTTGGGCACACCAATCCTATAACCAAAACCAAACCAAACATTCACAGCAACAGAAGTAATCAAACAAGAAGAGAGATTACCACATACCCAGCAATCTGATGTTCCCACCAGAGCCCGCAGCTCGTAATTCATGCTGCAAAAGAACCGCCCGTCTTTTTAAAAAGTACAACGCACATATTCTTACTTTCTGAATGCGAGCTCCAAAGCTTGTGGCGTACCGCACGTTGACTGCTCGAATGTGGTCCATGAGTCGATATCGGCGTAACTTGAGAAGTTCGAGATGTACAGAATACAGGTGCGTATCTCTTACGTCCGGGTAAGCTGCATGGAAAATTACCACAACGCGCTCCTGCACTCTCCCTATCTCTGCCAAGCACACCACACAACTCGTCATATCCTGGGCCGGCTCGACCATCACTGCCTCCGTCGCCAGCCTTCTGTTGGGTTAGGGTTATTGATTAAATACCCTAAAACCCTGAAATTAGGGGCTCAATCCATACCCTTTTGGGTAATGGCGGCGGATAAAAAGCGCCTGGATCCAACAATGGAGCCGGGCTACAATCCTGCTCAGGCTGGGTAAGTGTCTCGGTCATTTAGCAATCTCATCCGCTTCTTCTTTAGCTGGTATTCTTGGTGGGAGGCGTGTGGATTTTTTGGAGCGGATGCGGCCAATGCGTTTGAATAATTTGGGAACTTGGTTGAAGGACGCAAGCAGCTGTACAGAATTTTGTTTCTCCGTTCATGCTGTGATTTATTTTCTTTCTCGTCCAGGCAACACTCTGCAGGACTTTCAAGCAGTCCAGAAGAAAGAATTGGAAGCAGTGTATACACCCTTCGTCCCTGAAGCCTTCGAGGTACTTGCTTGATCACGTAAATCAAGTTCCTGATTTCCAGCTTCTTATTACACAAACCTTACTTCAGTCGAGAAGATCGTACGTCAAACAGCTTGATTGATCCGCCTTCCATAGCAACAGCAAATACCAGGCCTTGTTGATCATACGCCATAGACGGCCTTCCCCGGACTCTAAGAAGATCCTCGCTTTCCAGCCGCAGAGGTTATCAAAGGCGCGTGCTATGGGAGAAATGCTTACAGCCACATACGTAAATCTTGCTGGCCACAAACTTTGCGTGCTTTCCAGACATCCAGGAATAGAACAGCAATCAATCGCAAAAGCCACCAGTACCAGCGGACGCATCAGAATGTGCAAAGATTTCTTGCAGCAGTGCTTTCACTTGGAAGACCGACTGCGAGCCAAGTACAATCCCAATCCCGTGCTAAGCTGGCGAAACCTTGTCGTTGGGTATACAAGACTGACAAGAACACAGCGATTTCGCTAAAGAAACTCTGCAGAGTAAAATACATCGCTTCCAAGTGGTTCTCTCTGACAATCTTACTCTCGTTCTCCACAGCGAACTTACATCCAAGGTAGTTCCGCGCCTACTTCATGAACTTGTTCAAGAACTTGCGATGGAAATCACTCCTGATCGTATCGTTGATGAAGCGCTTCACCTACTTGGTAGCCTGGTGCTTGAACACCACATCGTCCTCTACACGGCAGACGAGCCGCCGCCACCACCGCGGCGACGTCGGTGCCAAATTGCTCTTGCGAGCTTGAATCTTCGGCATCTGGCCCAAGATGGTTAACGTGGACAAAGTTCGCAACCAACCGCTTCTAGGAACTGTCGTGGTTTGATACTGAGCTGAAGATTGGAGAAGAGCCTCCCCAGCTTGTCAAGAGGTCCCTCAAGCAGTGCTGTGGTCTTGTGCTGGAAGATGATGGCATGTCGAAGATGGTCTTGCACAGGTACGATGAAAACTACGGTTGTAATGCACGCTGCAGTGACAGAATCGAGATTCAACTTCTGCAAAGCTCGAGCAATCCAAACGAGCTCGAAGGGAAGGTTGAAGGAGAAGGGGAGCACATAGCTCCACTCAAGATGACCTCTAGCAACTCCTCTAAGCTCAAGAATCCTAACTTACAACACTATGCTTTTCAATATCCATTTAATGCAAGAACTTCCTTTGATAGCAACAGTGAATACAGTCTAAGACTAGGAGGGTTGGAATAGCGGGAAAAAGACGGCTTTACACCTTCTTGACGCCATTTGGATGGATCTCTGCCGCGAACTGGACGCTGTCGACGATCTTCGCCCCGCGTGCGGCAGTGAGATACAATCCCATATGGTGCGCGAGATCCTGCGCATCAATTCACCAAATCAATCACGGTAGGATATTTGAGGAAATGTTTCATACTTGTGGATGCGCCACAGCTCCAATTTCCTTCGCAACTGCCAGAGGCAAATCATAGGTGGAGCATCCTTGAGCGTAGACCACGATTTCTTCCAGCGGTGGCGAGATCCCGTGGTTCCTGACCGAGGTCATCGTCGCCACGAAATCTAGCACACAAATGTCCGTGCAAACCCCCACCACCAAGATCTGGAAGAATTTTAAAGCAAGCCTTTCTTCTTGGACAAAGAAAGAATTTTTCCTTACCCGTTTAATCTTGTTTGCGTTGATCCAGTCCACGACCGTGTTGGATCCATCTGGTCTCATCGCTCCCACAAATCCATTAATGCAATCCTTTCGCACGAGCACAACCCCGTCATCGTCCTCGAGCCACTTAAGGTCTGATCCAAGCGAAGAATCACTAGATAGCGATCGAAATCGACGAGATTTTTCGAGGGCACCGACCTGGGACGAGTTCTTCCTCTCCAGAGCCCACAAGGCAATGCGGAGGATACGGATTCTCCGGCTTGTTTGGGTCGTGGCAATCCATAAACGCGAGAACAGGCAAGTGCCTGGATCGAAATTCTCTGGCGATCCTCACGGTCTCGTCGACCATGCGCTCCACTTGAGCATCTGGGGCCCGAGGAGCCTGCATAGATCAATAAGAACGTCGAGCGAGAGAGTGGATTCCTCTACTGACCAGATTTCCGTGACCAACGGTGCAGAATCCGTTGACTTCGTCGAGGACGACGAGCCCAGTTCGCTCGTCATCCCCAATTCTAATGCACAAGTGCTCCATCCGGACAGGGAGCTCCGCCTTCACCCACGAAATCAAATCCATGATGCAGCGATGACGGTGACGAACCCTAAATATGTATAAAATTCTTTCAAGCAAAGCATGAAAGTTTGACTCTTTTACCACTATTATCTGATCTGAGTATCAAATGGAGGGTAGGGATTGAAATGGATTTGCACAACAGCACAACATGAAATGTTGTCATTAAGCATTTGTTTTAGTTTATAACTAAGTTAGAGTTTTTGTAATTTTTGCTAATGGTTAAGTACCCTGGAAAAATGTTCTTGAAAAATGAATTTTAATAATGTTATGTATACTCAATAAGTGCTATAAAACGTTGACATGTGTTGTTTGATGACTTTTATGATTATTTAAAAACCTATCTAAATATTTGAATTTATAGCTCAATTTTGTAAAATGTGCTACTAAGATGTTGATAATGGGGATACAATTGGAATATATTATGAGTTGTTTTTGCTAGTTACTATAGTAATACCGAACCTGTAGTAATTATTAATAGAATATTAGGTTTTTAAAGCTTTCATAAAATTAGATGGTCATTTACTTTTAATAATAATAATAATATTAAAAATAAATAAATAAGAAAATTATATATTTTTATTAAATTGCATAATATTTGTAAAATACCAGAAAATTAATATTAACATTTATAAAATTAATGTGGATGAATAATTTTAATTATAATATTAATTAAAAATAATATTTAATTTAATTTCTAGTCCAACAATTATCAAAATCCCACTATGTTAATATTAATATATGGCATTATAATTGTATACTTGGACCTTACATCATTCCTTCCTCTCATAATGATGAAAAACAATCAAGGTTCTTTAATATATGGGTTGGAATCTAGAAGAATATTAGGAAGATGTATCGGTGAATCTGTAAGTAGTGCCACTTGTTACAACTCTCTTGTATAAAGTGGTTTAGCTATTGCATATCCATAATTTCTGGAGGATCAACCTATTAAATGTCATACCAAATTTTATAAATTTGCAGTTTAACTTGCTAGAACACTTGATATTAAACAAATTACATACGATAAAATTGGGAAAATAAATTAACACTAAGTCATTTATTTTATACTTCACAAGGGGATGATAATAGGAGTTATAATGCCATTCTTGTCCCATTTGTAAGCAGCCCAATGTCAAATTCAATTCATTTGCATTTTTATTTAAAGCAATTCTTATGTATTATAATGATTTACTGTGATAGCAAACATAATATAAAATATTTTGTTAAATGTTATTCCTAGAATCAAACTTTGAACACTTAATTAGTTTTAATGGCAAAAATTATATAAAATTCAACTGTGTTTAAAACTTTTAATTGTACTTTATTGAATGCCAAATTAATTTGATCATCTAGATTTAAGGACATTAATACTATGTATTAGAGTGATATAATAATAATATATTCTAATTAATATTAAACAAGTCCATCTCCATACTACTTGAGCTTTGGGCCTCAACTCGGGCGAGAAGGGTCCATCCATCTCCAGATGCATGTAGGCATTCGTTCACGGCCACAACCCTCACGATGTCCCCAAATTCTATGTCCATGTATCCCTGAAGAAAATAACCAGTCAAAAGTACAAGAAGAAAAACAATAATACCTGGTATCTCTTGAGAAAAGCTTGAAGTTCTCTCATCTTTGATTTCATTCGCGCGTGTTCGTTGCTCGCTATAGCGGCACTTACTTCTAAAGGGGAGTGTCCGATCATCCTCTCAACCAGCTGCAAAATCGGAGACTATACTCTTGACTAAACAGAATTGAAGCTTTACCTCGTGGTTCACTAAAGCTTCTGTTAAAAGGCTTCCATCTTCGATGTATATCGCCAGCCGGTATGCATTGCGATCCTTGAAAAGGAACTCTTTCACGGCTGTAAGGAAACACTGTATCCAGAAAACGAATCGTGCTTTCTTTTTTCTTTTCTTTTGTTACCTTAACTCGGCCTGATTGAACTACACCGGACTCCATAAACCGCCTCTGTAGAACCGCCAGATACGTAAAGGGAGGGGACTCCAGGCTGTCTGCGGCTGAAAAATGGACGGGCATATGTCACGAAAATCTGAAGATCATAAAACTTACTGCGCAGTTGTCTTCTACTCCTGGTTTCATTGGATTGGAGGGAAAGCATACGAATACGCGAAGTTCCCAGGCCGATAGAAGTCTCGGAAGGTGTGCCAGACGAGGTCCGATGCGTAGTTTCGTCCTGTCCTGGAGGTGAACATCAAAAGCATTAGGCAGGGAGAGAAAACCTGAAAGGCCTTCTTTGTGTTTACTTGGTGTTTGTTCACTGTAGGAATATGAACCGCGAGAAAAATCTTCTATAGAAACAGGTGCTTGCCTTCCTGAAGACAAAAAAAGTAGAGACAGAAAATCAAAATACAAGGATAGAAGAACGAAAGAAAGAAAGCAAACACAGTCACTGTGCAAAAGTTAGACCTGTATATGGATGATCACGAACAGTCGAAGAAGGTTGCTGCTCACTTCCAGGATTGGCTGCAGCGCCATTGTTTTCTTGGACGTCAGGAGTTCGGGGCCAGGCAGCTTGTGTAAGTTGCTCTTCCAACGATGGTGGAGTAGTACCACGCGGGTGCCTGCAAATATCCTTAACTAGTACACGAAGAAGAAAACTTTACCTGTTTCCCCGAGGAGGTTTGTTTACTTGATGTACCACTCTCTGTCGAGCCTCTTCAAGCTCTTGGACAACACCTCCTAGAACAGTAACAATTTCCGGGACAAGAAGAAACATCCCTCTCCGGATGCAGACATTCCTTACGCAAATCTGCGGTTGGGAGAAAGAAAAATCAAGGAAAGGATTTCTTGAACGCGTACCTTCAAACCAGCTGGTTGTAAGACTTTGAGCTGTGGGATAGGACGATACTCAATGCCAAAAACTCGTTGAGCACCGTCGGTCATGGAGAGCTTCAAGCATCGACTTCCAATTCCAGCATTTCTTTCCTGGTAGCGATCCTTGAGGCCGCAGCAAATGTCCACCGTTTCATCTACCTGTGTGCCATGCTCCCATCGATAAAAAAAAATATAGAAAAACTTTCACTTACTTGTAGAACGAAAGGGCCCGCTAGCTCCACTTTGTGCATCGCCTGGACCCCTGGAGGAAGCACAGCATCGGTGACGAGATTGAAATCGGCAGCGAGGAGATGCGCAAAGCATTTCTCGGCGCGCGAGTCTACCAGCAACTGTGACGCTCCGATCTGCTCGCGCAGGCAAGAAGAAAGCCACTGCGCCTTAGGCCGCATTCCGCGAGAAGCCAGAATCTCCACAACCCGCTCCTCCATCGAAATCCCAAAACCCTACTAGGGTTCTAAGCATCCCGCCATTTTGCTAGCTTGAAAGGTTCCAGGAATATGCTTGCCAAGCAAGGGCTTTATGGTGTTTTGCCGCGCGCACTCTCTTCTCTTCCAGATCGCGCATTGCGGCAATTCGCTCCTGCGGCGCCGAGGACATCGTTCCCCAAGACGCGCCACGGCGTGACATGAGACGATCCCTGCCACTGGCTGCGAAATTCGGACGAATCAGCACGCGCAATCGACCATGGCTGGGACAAGGGAGCTGCAGCGCCAGATCCGCCAGGAAATGGCGAGTAGGATGGAGAAGGATCTCGCGTCGCTGCCAGAGCGCTGGGGGCATTGGTGAGTTCTTCCCGTTTTAACTTTTAGTTTTTGGCTTAGACGAAAAGCTTAATGACGATGTAGGAAATTTCGTGCAAATCCCACAAGGGAAAGATCTACTCGAGACGAAGAGCCCGCAAAGGTGGAAGGCTGAAGGCTTTCTTGACAAAATTTCCTCGACAAGAAGCAGAGTGAAGTGATGATCGACATCAATGCGCTTGCTGCGAAGCACGATAAAGTTTTGAGGATCTATCCTTCGTTCTCTCGTCGTAGCTATCATGAGGATGATCGATCGAAAGGACCTGCATTGCGATGAACGAGATTCACAAAATTCGGCACTCTGAGACCAGGAAAGGAAACGAAGCGACTAGAGCAAAAATCAGGGAAGAGCTCACCGTTTTATACCCCCGGGAAGTGGAAGGCCAACGGCCTGTGGCAACAAGTTTAATAATGTTGATTCAACACAGCAATCCAGGCACATATAACTCGTCTTTGAAAGCATCGAGCTCATAAGACCAAACGTTTTGTGACGACTTAGTTTATAGCATAACTTAGAGGAATTTTTGTCACTGCATAAGGTTTTTCCATGGTGGAGCGCAGCTGGTGTAGTGGTAGTATCCTCCCACCTCATGCGGATCGCTTATCTCCAAACAGATAGAATTGATGATCCACCAATGTTTTGGGCGAGAAGACACTTGGCCTGGGAGGTTGTCCCATGAAATCGCCACCGTCCATCAAACATCATCCCAGCCGTCGATATAAACCCGTTTTGAGGAAGCTAGGTCTTCCATTCAGCAAGAAGGTCTGGGAGCGATGGTGCGTGACACCGGTGAGTTAAGCGAGGATGACTGTAGTGAGCTTCTCAAGTTCTACATGAGGGGAAAGCGGCTGGGATGTGGAGGGCAAGGGCAGGTTTTCATGATCCATAATGGCCACAACACATATGCTGGAAAGTTGTTTCGATCGGGGAGTGATGCCGAGAGAGAAGCTCGGCTCATGTCCAAGCTTCACGCCTGCCCTGGGGTCGTCTCCTTCAAGGGCTTTGTCAGGGAGAGAGATGGTGCCAAGTGCTATGGCACCATCGTCATGGAGCTGTGTGGCCCAAACCTATGCGAGGGATTGATCAACTGCGGGCCGATGAGGGAGGAGGATGCAGCGAAGACCATCAAGAAGCTGGCTGAAACGCTCAAGGAGATCCACTCCAGGGGAATTATCCACCGGGATCTCAAGCCGGAGAACATTCTTGTCAAGCTCAATGCCACTGGTGTGCACGATGTTCTGATTGGAGACTTCGGGATAGCCACAGACCTGCACAGGGAGATGTCAAAGTACTGTGGCACGGAAAAGTATATGGCACCAGAGGTGATGGCGAGGAAGGGCCGCAAGGGAGAATCACAGAGCTTCTACACGGCAGCCATTGATGTGTGGGGTTTGGGAGTCATTGCGTACGAGCTGTTGAAAGGTCACAAATCGAGAATGGAAATCGATTTCTTGAGAGCGGGAGCATTTCCAACTGGTTTTGGCTCGGACCAGGCGGAGGATCTTCTCCGGGGGATGTTAGCTGTTGAACCGAGCAAGAGGGTAACGCTGGACCGTGTGCTTGCACATCCCTGGATCGTGAAGCATTGCAGCAGCAGTAGCAAGATCGAGACGACGACACGCAGCAGGCGCTGTGGAATGAAGAGGAGTCTTCCCAGCAACAGCGACTTGATCGTGAAAAAAGCTCGTGCAGCTTAACAGCACCAGTTCGGTAAGCATCGTTTTTGATTGAAGAGTACAGGTACTAACTTTGCTTGCTTGGTCACCGGGTGGAAAAAAAATTTTTGTGAGACAACGATTTCTTTGTGTATATCAATGCAAGAACTGTCTTTGCAAGTTATGAATTTTCCTTTCTATTCTCTTGATGGGAACAGTCAAATTCAATACAATGGAAGGGATCGCTGATGATCCTGGCGGCAAATTTGAAGAGCTTCAACTCGGGCAAGAAGCCTCCATCCATTTCCGGATAGTCGTTCACGGCCACAACCCTGTGCTGAAAAGATCACCACACGCTTAAGAAGAGAATATCTCATGTGTGCCTTTGTAAAAAACACCTGGTATCTCTTGAGAAAAGCTTGACGTTCTATAGCGGCACTTACATCCAACGGGGAGTGTCCGATCATCCTCTCAACCAAGTCTTGATTAAACAGAATTAAAGCTTTACCTCGTGGTTCACTAGAGCTTCCATTAAAAGGCTTCCATCTTCGATGTATATCGCCAGCTGGTATGCATCGTGATCCTTGAAAAGGAACTCTTTCACGGCTTAAGTATCCAGTTTTTTCTTTTCTTTTATTACCTTAACTCGGCCTGATTGAACTACACCGGACTCCAGAAACCACCTCTGTAGAACTGCCAGATACGTAAAGGGAGGGGCTGAAAAATGGACGGGGAAATGTGAAGATCATAAAACTTACTGCAAAGTTGTCTTCTAGTCCTGGTTTCTTGATTGGATTGGAGGGAAAGCATATGAATACGCGAATTTCCCAGGCCGACAGAAGTCTCCGAAGGTGTGCCAGACGAGGTCCGATGCTGTCCTGAAGTGAAGATAAAAAGAATTACGCATGGAGAGAAAACTTGAAAGGCCTTACTTTGTGTTTACTTGGTGTTTGTTCACTGTAGGAATATGAACCGCGAGAAAAATCTTCTATAGAAACAGGTGCTTGCCTTCCTGAAGACAAAAAAGTAGAGACAGAAAATCAAAATACAAGGATAGAAGAACGAAAGAAAGAAAGCAAACACAGTCACTGTGCAAAGTTAGACCTGTATATGGATGATCACGAACAGTCGAAGAAGGTTGCTGCTCACTTCCAGGATTGGCTGCAGGGCCATTGTTTTCTTGGACGTCAGGAGTTCGGGGCCAGGCAGCTTGTGTAAGTTGCTCTTCCAACGATGGTGGAGTAGTACCACGCGGGTGCCTGCAAATATCCTTAACTAGTACACGAAGAAGAAAACTTTACCTGTTTCCCCGAGGAGGTTTGTTTACTTGATGTACCACTCTCTGTCGAGCCTCGTCAAGCTCCTCCAAGAACAGTAACAATTTCCGGGACGAGAAGAAACATCCCCCTCCGAATGTGCAAAGACTTGTAATACTTTGAGCTGTGGAGTAGGACGATACTCAATGCCAAAAACTCGTTGAGCATCATCGGTCATGGATAGCTTCAAGCATTGACTTCCAATTCCTTCCTGGTAGTGATCCTTGAAAATGTCAACCGCTTCATCTACCTGTGTGCTATGCTCCCATCGATGAAAAGCTATAGAAACCTTCCACTTACTTGTAGAACATAAGTGCATCGCCTGGACCTCTGGAGCGTCGGAGGAGCTGCGCGAAGCATTTCTCGGCGCGAGAATCTACCGGTAACTGAGACGCTCCGATCTGCTCGCGCAGGCAAGAAGAGAGCCACTGCGCCTTAGGCCGCATGAGAAATCCCAAAACCCTACTAGGGTTCTAAACATCCCGCCATTTTGCGAGCTTGAAAGGTTCCAGGAATATGCTTGCCAAGCAGGGTCTAGGGTTTTCTGGCGCTTTGCCGCTTCTCTCGCGCACTCTCTTCTCTTCCAGATCGCGCATTGCGGCAATTCGCTCCTGCGGCGCCGAGGAGATCGTTCCCCAAGACGCGCCACGGCGTGACATGGGACGATCCCTACCACTGGCTGCGAAATTCCGAGGATCCGGCCGTCATCGCGTATCTCCAGGCTGAGAATCAGCACGCGCAGTCGACCATGGCTGGGACAAGGGAGCTCCAGCGCCAGATCTGCCAGGAAATGGCGAGCAGGATGGAGAAGGAGCTCGCGTCGCCTCCAGAGCGCTGGGGGGATTGGTGAGTTCTTCCTTGCTCGTTTAGATTTTTTTTTTTTTTTTTTTTTTTGCCTAGATGAGGAACTTAGAAACAATGTAGGTACTATTTCGTGCATATCCCGCAAGGGAAAGAGTTTCCCATCTACTCGAGACGAAGAGCCCGCCAAGGTGGAAGGCTGAAGGCTTTCTTTACAAGTTTTTTTGACAAGAACAGTGAAGTTATGATTGACATCAATGAGCTTGCTGCTGAGCACGGTAAAGTTTTGAGGATTGTTCTTTGTTTCTCTCTTCTTCCTAATTACACAAGTGTAGGCCATGCGCAGCTTGGAGTTTTTAAGCTATCCATGTACACAATTGACTTGGGTGGCAACGAGATCTTCACATTGTTTATCAAAGACTTGGAAACTGATAGCCTCCTCCTGGAGCACAAAACCGATGGTGTAGTAAGTGTGGAGTGGTCTGATATTGGAGACTATCTTTACTACACTTGTAGTGATGCAGCCACAAGTTTCTATTTGAAGTTTCTTCTAGAATCATTTTTTCTTGATCTTGACAGGGTTTTGTTGCGGAACTTGCGATCTAAAGACGATGACATTGCAATTTATTACGACGACAATCCAAAGAACTTTGTTGATGTTACAAGAACCAAAAACTGGCAGTACGTTTTGATTAATGTCAACTCAAAGATGTCCTCTAAGGTAATTGCGTTTCACAAATGTGTTGCTCGAGCCTCTACAGGACAGGTTTTTCTGGTAGATCCGAAAACTTCAGCCACAACGTTGCGGAAAGTTGCAGATAGAGTTGATGGAATCCAGTATTTCGTGGAACACCATGAAGAGCACCTGTATATTCTTACCAATTTTTTGGGCGACAAGAAGCTAGTGTCGTTAGGAAACAACTATCGGCTTGTCCGCTGCAAGACAGATAGCTTGACCTCGAGGTACGTCAATTCTCGTTTTTTTCACAGCAAAAAATGAAACACTGTAGGAGGTTGTCCCAGTCGACAGCGAAAATTGGATAGAGGATATGGATATTTTTGCAAAGCATTTGATCTTATACAGACGACAAAATGGTCTTCCCATTGTGCATGTTATCAACCTGGATGTAAGCATATGGTAAAAGTTTTGGTCTCACTAAGCTCTTTCCTTTCAGAGCCTGAAAACTCCTCCTTGGACTGTAAACCTTCCCTCCGGGATAACAGTTCTTACTCCTGGAGCAAACTGTGACTTCAATTCGTCTACTCTACGGCTGTCGATATCTTCACTGGTGGTAAGCTCTCTTTCTTTCTTGCATTAGATGTTCGGCGATATAAAGATTGGGCATGTAACGAAATCTGGAGAAATAGCGGGGCCACGTACATTGGAGCACATGGTTGATGTTTGTCTTCACTTGGAGGCAAGAGGTTTTTATCTTTGTTCGTTTGAGGTTGCCATATATTTCTTGTCTCTAGGGAGACCGTCTTTTGTCTCAACGGCTTCTAAGATCACTAAAAAATCGCTTCGCTTATACGAAAGAGGTGACTGTCTTTCAGCATTTGCTTTTAAATTGAATCTCGCTGTTTTATCTTTATTACAGGTCGGCGTGTTTGAGGTGGTCGACAACGGTTTACGAGCGGTAGAAAATCCCAGTTTGATGTTTCTTTCTGATAGAACTGGGGAGGACAGTAATGCATCAGCCACCGTTGGTGGCTTTGGAAGGATCTCGGCCGCTGCTGGTTGAAATCCAGGTAAGCGACGTCTAGGATTTACGTTGGATGATGATACTTTTAGCCAAATCTGAGCGTTGTCTGGCTGCTCTAGCTTTCCAGGTTCAACGAGAGACTGGTGGTAGATTCTTTGGAATTTCCCGAGTTTCGAGTGAGCTGGACTGCCAAGAACAGTTTCTCTGACTTGCCATGATCTGACTTTAAAACCGAGAAGCGTATCTGACAACGATCAAAAGCTAAAGTTTTCTCCGGCATGAACGCGCGTTTTGCAGGCCTTATGCTCTCCTGCCACTTCACTGCCAAGTAAAAGAACGTTCACTGGAGTGGATCCATTTCGATTCAATCTGATTGTTGCAGTAAGTCACTCCATAAATATTCTCCACTTTTGTGAGGCTTGACGCTGTGATGCCAGGTCTTACTCAAACAAGCGCGCTTGAGACTTGCAAGACAGGTGCGTTCTGTACTTTGTGATAGCAAAAGTTCTTATGCTGAAAGACTGCTCTAGGATATTTTTGTTAATGTCGTTGGAGGCTTTCGTTTGGAAGAGCCCGCCACAGATATTGCTGTTGCCGTCGCTATTGCCAGCAGGTACTTTCTCTCGACTAGCTGGGCTCACGAGCTTCGTCTTGCTTGCAGCTATATAGAAAGGCCGGTTCCTCGGGACACAGTCTTCGTTGGTGAGCTAGGACTCGGGGGAGAGCTGCGCTTTGAACGTTCTTACGTGGTTTCTCACTTTTCAATGCTGGAAATTCCGTCCATGCAGGTAGCTCAACTCGAAAGGCGAGTGTTTGAGGCATCCAAGCTGGGTTTCAAGAAATGCATCGTCCCACAGGGTGCTAAAGGAGTTAAGGTGGACGGAATGATTTATTCTTTGCTCGAGCCTCACGGACGTTCTACAGAAAGTCTTCAACTACAAGAGCCTGCCCCAGCAGCGAAAGAGTGGAGCCACGGTTCATTTGGATGCGTTTCCGGAAGAAGACGGGGTGTGTGGTGAGGTCCAAGTCGGTCAGGAATCTCTTGACGATGATCTTGCTAATGAGTAATAAGCTTTTGCATCGTAACATTTTAATCTCACAGGTGTACATATAATCTAGGAGCTTATACGAATTGTAAATAACCATATCGCTCCAAGGATATAGATCTAGCAATACGATTGGCGGTCTTGATTGTTCTCTTAGCCTCAACAGGCATCACCCAAAAGAGGGTGGAGGGGCTGTGATTGTCTCCTACCTTGGACAGTGCTTGGAGCAATCGCGCGTGTGATCCCCTTCCTCGTCGTGCAGTGGCTGCTTGGAACCAGTGGCACGTAGAGGATTGCGCCACAAAAAGAGTGAATCTTTCCGAGATGACCAACGATGACTCTAAAGCAATAAAACGCTTGTTATCAATAATGTAAAATACATTAAAAAAATAAAAAATACAATAAAAATAAGAATTAACCTAGAAATTAATGAAAACATTATTTTAATTAAGATTATTATTCCTCCACATTATCTTCTTAAAGCAATATTCATAAAATGTTATTATTAATTGTCCAGTATCTTCTATTTTTAAAATTGCAAATATTATGCAGTTTGAGCAAAATATATTATTTTTCCATATAATGTTATTGTTATTATCTATTATAAGTAAATGACCATCTAGTTGAAAATGAAGATAACAAAATATATTTGATCTTTCTGATATTGTAGACCATATACTTTTGATTGTTCAATATCATCAATAACAAAATTACAATTTTCTAATTTAGCTCGAAATTTATTATTAGAAGAAATTAAACTACTACTATTTATTATAAATGTGCCATAAAAACTTAGAGGACTGTTAAGTAGTTGTGTTCAATATGGCCAACATGGTAAAAAAAAAAAAATCAATTCTACTATATAAAATATTAAGAGATAGATTAGGATAACCTATATCAGAATATGGCTCATGAGGATCTCTCACAGAATTTATTCCAAGTGCAATAAAATCAATAAAAAATTATCTATATACGGTTTCAATCATTCCTAGACCATATAATCTTGCATGATATTCTACTAATCCTAGCATTTCTAAAAAAGTTCTTCTAACATAGAAAACTGATAATTATCAGGAAGTGAAAAATTTCTAAAACCTAAAGGAGTGATATAAATCCTAATCATAACTTGTTGAAAATATATCGATTACCAAAATGACCAAACAGTCCAATCCATCTAGTTTGAGGTGGTTGCGCATTCGATAAATTAACAATTATAAATAATAACAAGAGACTAAATATCATTTCAGATTCAATAAGAAGTTTTTAGAAATTTACTATACTAGGTGTTAAATGTATGTAAGGAAATTCTAGACTTTGTAAAGTGATCTTTCTTAATTAAAAAATAATAACTACCTAAACTTTATTATATAATATTTAATCTATAAACCATTAAAGGCATAATTATATTTAGTTTTAAAATTATAATAAATAATACATTTTTAGTATCTTAATTATATTAAATGAAATAATTAGTATATTTTAAATTCATAACTAACATTTAAATTTAAAACTAGTACAAGTATTTCATTAATAAATTAATCATTACCTTCTGTGAGGTTCAGATATACAGCTTTGATGCTAAATGCTATTATTAGCATAGTAGGATTCAGATTGGACTAAATAATTTAATAATTTTTGGCTTCTATATTTCATTCACTCATTGATCTTTAAGAAGTGCTTAGATTTATGTTTTTTAATTTAAATCTAACTTGTCCATCGCCTAGATCTCTCTTTTTGTAAGTTTTCTATTTTGTCTCTTTTGTTTTTCTTCTTTTTATTCATTTTCATGGTAGAGTAATTTACTCCTCCCTTGTAGCAGCATAATTCTATATAATATAAAAATCCCTAAACCCCAAAGTGGAGCTGAATGTGATTCATGTGGTAGTGGCCAAGGTAGAAGTCTAACAAATGTAACACATTTGCATCAATTTAGAAAAAACATAAATAGAACTTTTAAAGAAGTGCTTAAGGAATAAACACGAAATTATTAGTAAGTGAGTCTCAAATAAAAGACAAAAAATTACCAACATGTGGCAAGTGTTGTGATGTGTGAAAGTGCCAAGACTAAGCTTGAGATGGAATCCGAGATCAAGATTGAGATTGAGACTAAAACCAAAATTGAGTCCAAAACTAAGTTTAAGACCAAGCTCAAGTCTAAATGATTGTTTCTCAAACCCTAAGGGTTTGATAAATCCTTATATAATCCAAACACTCCTCAAGGACAATCAACCACTAATGTGAGTGCATAAAATATGAAAAAGGAATACATATCAATTAGTTCAAAAACCTTAATTTATATATAAGAACAAATGGTTCAAATTGAAATCAATTTGATAGCTACCAAAATCCCATTATGCTAATATTAATATATAACATCGTAACCGTACATTTGAACATGGTAAAATCCTTTCCTTTCAATTTGCATTCTCTTAATCTGTGGGCTCTAGAGCTATATTTCCAGTATGATAAAATTTTTGCCAAATGGCCATACAGGATTTCATCAAGATCTCTTGAGGTGGACCAAACTCTCTCTCTCTCTCCCTCTCTCTCTTAAATGGGGAAATAAAATTTAAAAAAATATATTTGTGAGGTTGTGGTCAAGTATAAAATTTTGCTTAAGGATAGCTTTCGAGATTATTTCATTTCTGCAAAGGGCACATGATTGAAATTTTCAAATTAGTTCCAGTAGAACATGTTTGTATTTCTCATCCATGAAGCCGCTGCTGAGAACAAGGGAAGGGTAGCAGAGACAGTTCCATCATGAATTTCTGGAAGGTCCTCACTTCTGATCTGCAACCCCTTCCAGATCATGCAATCTGGAGCATTCCAGTTTTTCCTGCATTGGTGCAACAAGCAATGAACACAATATTATTAAATGGGGGGGGGAGCGGGCAGTCAAGGATGCCCAAGAGAAATATCTGCCTCAGTACTTAACCGGCAGGTGGAGGCTGTGAAGGCTGAGATACCATGTCTCATCAACATTAGTGACCGGAGTCCACATTCTGATTTGCAGGCTCGTGCTCATGGGGTCAGACGAGCAAAGTAGGTATTAAAACTTGTTCCAGATGCTGTTACTCAAATTTTTTCATATGTCCAGGTGATGATCTATACAGGCTCCGCTAATCAGTGCTAGTGGAACTATTGAGGAGAGGATGATGCAGTTAACCAAGAAGAACATGGTGGTTGAGCATCTCGTGGCTGGACTATTCGCTCAAAATGCTTGGAAATGAGGGCTCGTGTCTAGTCAAGTTTCCCACACAAGACCTCAGCATATCTTCCATGCACTTTGGGGTGTGAATACCTGAGCTGTATAATCTCACAGTTGAAGCTTTGGCTTTGCGGTGATATGGATGTCAAGAACCGGACCTGGTGCCACTGCCGCCACTGGGGTAAGATGATATGATCTGGGGCTTGATGTCGTGGAGGCGCGAGCTGCTTTACACTTGTTACAACCTTCCTTATGTTGGATTCTCATTGTCTTGTTAGACAATGCTAGTTTAAATCAATGTCCAAGACAAATCACGGTTTGATCAGGGTTTTTTGGTCTACAAAGAAGATCAGATCAAATTGGTGCTTCAACAGGTGCTTGAGAACAAACAATTTGACTAGTTCATCACTGCTTTTGACCCGTTTTCTCCTGTGCAGATCCTTGGCGTATCAGCACACTGAGCAAGAATTGATTGAGCAGTACTGGTGGGGATGACAATATAGGCAAAGTCTGGTAAGAACATTATGAATCTCTTGCATCAAACACTGTCACCTCTCAACATCATTGCTACCAAACTCCATGGACCAGAACCTCCTCCAGATCAACAATGACAACAAGCAACGATAAAGTTTTTTTCTCTGTTTTTTAATTTTATTTTTCATTTTTAGAATAAAATAAAGCTGCTTAGTACATAAAACTTGAAAACTTATATCGATACAATGTTAGCGTGGAGGCCCTCCAAGGGTAATAAGGTCCAAGAGTGACCAGAGGTTTAAATTCAGTATTGACATGATATAACACAAATTTGTTTTAAAACAACAAATACAAGAATTAAAATTTAAGACCACCTTAGCCATGAAACAGATGATGGCATTCCAAGATACACATTTCTCACATGCATCTTCTGAAACTGTTCTATATGGAGTCTAAAACGCCCCTCAAAGTACCTATTCAACGATTAGATCGATAATACTGTTGTCCAGGCATTGCAGTTGCATCATTGCCTGCTGCAAGTGCCCATTCCAGGCAAGCGCTACGAGCATGCCATTCCCTGAAACAACAGTCAGCTGCTGAATTCTGGCGAAGCACTGCCACGCATGTTGAATGCTGCCATTCTGTCCATACATCTTTGTTGGATTGTGGAACTATGGACACTAGAGAAATGTATATTCTACATTCAATTCATAAGAAGCACGCCATACTTCATAGAATATAACAAACCAGCTCCTCTTTATTTACGTATATGAATCCATGTCAGAGGAGCATAAGCTTACATGATTCCATAGCTAGACATTGGGTTGAAGCCCACAGGCACAACAGCAGCACTGAAGATCTGAACCTCCTTGAGTTCACCATGAAAGTAACGTTTGTTGTCACGGGGGTCATAACCAATGAAGACAGGTAGGCTGGAATTGAGGTTGACTATCTTGGAGCCGTTCTGTGACTTATCAAGTTTAGAATCAACGTAGATAGACCCAACAGTGCCATTTCGGACTGCAGCAACATGGTGCCAAGTTCCATCAGTGACTGGCACTGTTCCCTTAATGTTGAACTGGTACTCACGATTGTACACCGTAAACCATAGATTGCCATTGAGGATCCATAGCCACCACTCACCATAGATATCAGAGCGTTGCTGGATGACGCACAGTTGCTGCTTGATGTGGGGTGGGACCTTCACCCAAGCATGAACAGCAAAATCAGTCTGCCCAGAGAGAGAGGGCGTGGTGCCCATGGAAATGTATGTTGCACCATCAAACACAATACCATCAGTTGTGTGAGCAAGTTGGGACCTGGCCTGCTTCACAAGCCCAGTTGCCTTGTTCCCAGACGAGTCTGCGACCAGGAAGCCTATCTTCTCATCCAGCTTCCACCATGCAAACAGTGACTT